ACAACAACAACAACAACAACAACAACAACAACAACAACAACAACAACAACAACAACAACAACAACAACAACAACAACAACAACAACAACAACAACAACAACAATAATTGTACATTTAATGCCACCATTTTGTTCTTAATAGATTTTTGGAGATATACATTTTTGAATTTTTTTCGATTTTTTTCTAAGATAGCTTCACATTTTAGGCCATATTTCGAGTTAGAAAGGTCCGACTGGGTTGTGTAAGATACCATATTAAAGGTAATCGAATTTCCAAAGATTGCTTGTAACATTCGAGAAACTTCGATCTTTTGGGCTAAAATAGAACACGAAAATTTCTTTTATCGCCATGCAAAAATATAAACTGTCAAATTATGTCCAGTTTCTTATTGTTCACGTATAGATCGCACTTTTACGAAGAAAACAAACTTTGGTGAGAGAAAATCTATAAATAAATACCGGAGTAATGAACAGTGGAGTAAAGATAAACAAATTCCAAATGTTACTCTGTTTTTGTATTTTTCTCTTATTTATATGGGAAAGTTTATTTAAATCATTTCGTTCATTTCTATTATTGAATTTCAATATTATATGAGATGATAAGAAATAATTTTGGCCATAGTTAATTAGTAATTAGCTAAGTAGTAATGTTAGTGTTGCTATTCTTATGTGTCGACTAATTTAGTACTAACTTTGTGTCTTGTTTAATCATTTCATTTAATTGATCGCAAATTTACAAAATGAGTGTCGAGTTGTAAGTTTTATATTGCTATAGCGTCGGCAGTTAAAAGTATTACGGTCGGCACCGTCATAAACAAAATATGTATCCATGTCGAATTGACTAACCTCATCCTTTTCGAAGTCGGTTAATAGCTAATTTCTTGTGTACGATTTTTATTGACATCAAGGTTTCTTACGTAATGGCAAATTTTATTTAATTTACTAAACATTATTACAATTTGTGTAACGTTTTTGTAACGTTGTAAATAAAGGAGCATTAAATTATACGTTGATATATGACTTTTATTCATCAAGTACGATTTTAACGTATTATAAAAAGATATCGTTCGAATCGCTAGGTGTACAATTTTTAACGACTGTCAACGAATTATTAAGCTATAAAATTATGAAGTTTTTTTATTCGTTGCCTATTACTCGAACAAAAATGTTGTCATCCCTGCTCGTGAATTCTAATTGTATAAAAATGGAATTCTTTACGACGTCTCGTTGGCAGAAAATTACGTTCGACGGAAAAACGAACAGCTCGGAGAATAATTGGAGCGATAAACGAGCGGAGCACGCGACGTCGTTGCATAATAATGGCATACCATTTAAGAAAGAAAAACGCCACCGGTTAGTTAAACGTCTGGCGAGAAATTTCTCGTTACAATTGCCCAAGTGCCAAATATGCGTACGCCGCTCGCTAATACTCACCGTAGCCTTGATTCCAACGATCCGTCGGAGTTATCATCTCATTCCCCCTGGATCTGCTGAATAATTCATGAGCTCGACGAACGCATTATTCCGCGCGAAATAACAGACCAGATATTGCGAATCACTATTGCGTGGACGGAAACGCGTGTGAAACACCTAACACTCCGATAATTTTAGATTTCACTACGGACGTATTTTTATTAAGCTGTTTTCTTTTTTTTGCGTACACATTGCTTATATCGCCACAAACAATGTGCAATAAGGTCTGTGTTGTAATCGAAAATATAATTGATCCTAACGTCTCCTGGGAATGAATTTAATAAATAAAATTTGTTTAATCCGAACCTATTTTATTATTTTTTTATAAATGTTCCAAAAATAGAAATTCTTTTTCAGGTAATTCAAAAATTTAGCACCTAAATTCTTCTTTCAACAACAATTCATATTTAAAACATTTAACGGGTTACACCACCTTGACTCTACAATAAATGGGCATAAAAATAAACTTTTTTTTTTTTTTTGACTCGGCCGTTAAAATGATGAATTATTCTTTATTCTACGTATACATATAATAGATTTATAAACAATTTCCGAAATCGCGAAAACCAGGCCAAAAATAGGAGTTGACAGATAAATAAAAAAAATTGGTACATTATCGTTTTTGTGGTCGCTGATTATGAATCTGTCATCGGAATTTCGAAATTCAAAATGGCTGATTCTATACCGACGGAGATATCTAATATTGGTCTCCTTAAATGGGACACTTTGTACGCAAAAGGTGTAATGTATCCCTAATTGATCTCCTAGGTTTCTATCGATATTATTAACTTTCGTTTAACTTCATCGAATCCACTTGACATACAATGGGTGTAGAAAGTATTCACACACGGATCAATTTCCAAAAAAACTATGTAAAATTGTAATTTATTAACTTATTTTTTATAAACAACGACATTCTATATATACTCGGAAATCTCTAGAATAGATAGATTACAAAAAAGAATAGCTATTTATGTAAGTTGCAAAATTAACAAGAAAAAAGCAGTTAATCGATAGAAATGTTGAAGCAATAAGTATTCGAACAAATGTTTCATTTTTAACACTCGATTAAAAAAAAAAAAATGAAATTTACATTAATTTATAAGTATGTAATACTTCCTTTGTGGGATTTCCTCTTGATTTTATAATTATTGCAACTTTTCTAAGCATTAAATTAACTAAATTATTAATTATGCAAAGTGGGATCTTTATCCATTCCTTTATTAGAGCCTTTTCTTAAAAGTACTTTACTGGAAATTTAATGTTTTCTAATTAATAACACATTAATAAACTAATGTGTTTACGTTACGAACTGTACTGTAAATGGTTCGTCATAAGAACCGTACAAATACTTATTGCTTCTATACTTTTACCCACTTTTCGCATTGTTTTTGTTAATTTTACAAATTATATTAACTAATAAATGCTGTTTGGACTATATCTACCTTAGAGACTTCCGAGAATATGTAAAATATCATTGATTATAAAAAAAGAAGTTAAGAAACTACAATTTCACACAAAAGTTTTTTGAGAAATTGATCGGTGTACGAATACATTCTACAGCCATTGTAAACAGTGACAATAAGTTAGGTGGTCTCGCATACTTTTGATCGATAGTGTCCAAACCATACCAGGCTCCGTCGTTCCGAAGCGGCCTCCTAATTGCCAATTTTCTAGAATCTTTGCCGTTCTAGGCTGCTACACTTGGCTGAACGGAACGTGCAATTACTTCATTAGCGCTTGATTAACGAGTAATTCGTGTTACTTGGACTTTTCGTCAGAGCATTCTGGAGATCTGCGAACAATTTTTAAACATTCTTAGGGATTTCTCCAAGGTTCAAGTGTGACGCATCGATGATAGTTACAATAATAATTAACTTTGTTGACGTTATACAGGGTGTCATGCCTAAACCAGGCCACCTGAATATCTATTCCAATAGTGATAATACAAACAAATATTTTACATGGAATTTGAATGGTTTGTAGAGCCCTATATGCTGCAATATACTTTTTCTTTACTTTACTGCAATGTCCTATTTTTTTAAGGAGATTTCAAGGTCATCGATGTTTTTTCTCGATTATTATGAATATACTATGTGTAAATATACGTTTCAACTTATAATGTACGTGTGCGAGAGAAATAAAATCGTATTTTCACAAAAGTTTCCGATCATACTTTTTAACGTGATTATCTCGAAATAACTACCTTGACACAATTATTAAGAAATGTTGATGAACTCATCGAGACTTGGAATGTGGTGCTCGAAACCGAGCCCGAAACCTTTTCCTTTATTACGAATACGCGCCTCGGAAGACTCGCTTCTGATGGCATCATTCCAAATCACATGACACTTGGTACGCGAACTATATCCAAGTATTTTTTCTTTGACTCACGCGACACCGTGCTATTTTAATAATATGTATCCGTCCGTTATAGGCGTTGAAGTTATTTTCACGCTTTCCAGATCAGGTTGGCCGCAAAGAAATGATTTTAAAATTCCTTGATAATTCCAGATTTTCCAATAAAGTTTGCCATACGCCAACAAGACATTTAGGCGTACGACAGGTGAGTGACCGACGAGTACGAAAATGAGAGAGAGAGTGAGAGTGAGAGTGAGAGTGGGAGTGAGTGAGAGAGTGAGAGTGGGAGTGGGAGTGAGTCTGAGAGTGAGAGTGGGAGTGGGAGTGGGAGTGAGAGTGGGAGTGAGTGAGAGTGGGAGTGGAAGTGTGAGTGTGAGTGGGAGTGTGAGTGGGAGTGAGAGTGGGAGTGAGAGTGGGAGTGGGAGTGGGAGTGAGAGTGGGAGTGGGAGTAGGAGTGGGAGTGGGAGTGAGTCTGAGAGTGAGAATGAGAGTGGGAGTGAGTGAGAGTGAGAGAGTGAGAGTGGGAGTGGGAGTGAGTGAGAGACTGAGAGTGGGAGTGAGAGTGAGAGTGTGAGTAGGAGTGAGAGTGGGAGTGAGAGTGGGAGTGAGAGTGGGAGTGTGAGTAGAAGTGAGAGTGGGAGTGAGAGTGGGAGTGAGAGTGGAGTGGGAGTGGGAATGGGAGTGAGTCTGAGAGTGAGAGTGAGAGTGGGAGTGAATGAGAGTGGGAGTGGGAGTGGGAGTGAGAGTGAGAGAGAGTGAGGTAAAGAGTAAAGAGCAATAACCGCAAAATCGTGTATATGTATAAACCGCGAAGTTTATAGAACATAAGAGCTGGTGAGTAATAATAAGTTTAAATAGAAATTATTTCATACTTTTTACTGCATTTCGTCATACTTTTAAGCAATTATATCTGGAGCTGGAGAGTATTCATACAAATTAATTAGAAATTATTTCATATTTTTAGTGAAGTTTTAATGATTTTTATTGAAATATGTCAAAATTAAATATCGTTTCATACTCGGTATGATCGATTTGATAATTGTATATTTCAGATTGTTTATAATAAGCGTTGTTTGTTTGTTTTTCAATATCATTGATTTGCTGCTCCTTGCCAGACGTATCGTGTTAATATAATAAAGACGAGTCGCTCTTGTGTTGATAATATTTTCAAATAAATAACATTTCATTTATTAATGTAAAGTCTACAGTTTAATAAGTGGCATAATCTAATAATTTTCGTAGTCTGTTATATATTTTTTTATTCTTTTATTTTATTTAAATACTTTTGTTTCGTTTAATATCGTCTTCATTTACATCTTCTGATCCTCGTTAAAGAAAAGAGTTCTACGTTCGTTCACCTCAAAACGAGGTAAGAATTGCCTGGCAACGATGTCGTTCCTTTCAGGGGCTTCGCTAGAGACCTTTTCGTAGTCGGTGATCGATTTCTGTAGCAAGTCAGCTGATTTCGCGATAGCGGCCAATCAGCTGTTTATCTTTGGTGCATTTTTGGCGCGTAATCGGACAGCACCGCGGCGGCTTACTGGTGGTATGGATCGATAATCGCGCGTAAACAGGCCTGAACGTGTTACGTGAATGTTACGTTTATAGGTGAGTTGTAATTACGCGACCATTAGCGTTTAATGAAATGCGGACGTATTGTGCAATAATTCGCGAACAGCGGTCCACGCTAACCGGAACCGTATTCAAAACATTTTGAAAGAAATGCGCAAGTCACCAAATTTCGAGACGTGTCGATAGAAATGCGTCCATGTATACAGAATGTTCTGAGAATAATGGTCCAAGTAGATGGTCGTAGTAGTGGGTAATTTCTCGTGAAAAAAATCAGTCGAAAGGACAGAGTAAACGTGTTTCGCGTGAGACATCATTATTAAGAAAATCGAAGCTGTGTGAAATTGACAGCTAATTTTGTGCAAACTTATAAATAAATGAGAATTCTGACTTCATTTTCAATACTTCTGTAGTTCCAGATTAATTAAACTAATATCGAATAATTACAAGTATTGATTAATTTTTAAACAATTGTAAATGCCAAAATTGGTTTTACTTACACATATAGGGTGTCTGCAATAGGGATATCTGTTGTTCAATTGCTTTGAGTTATTTTCAGATTCATTCGACCAAAGATTCGTTTAGTGAAATCTATAAAAATGACAAGGACGCCTCTAATGAGGGTTAAGAGAGGTGTTCCCTTCAATCAATTTTCATTCTCTCAATTTCAATTTGTCCATCTTTTTAAATGTACCTCCAGAAAGAGGAAAAATGTAAACTCATATTTTTCCATATTTTTAAATACATGCTCGGTATAAAATCAAGGCGTTTGTTAAAAAACAATTAAAAAAAAATTGTCTTTGTTCTGAAGTCATTTTTATTTGATACTTCCATGTCCTCACTATGCGCACGTAGAAAGTCATTTTCATCCGTTGCCTAGTTCAATAGCCATTTTTTTTTTTTTTTAAATAAAAAAAGTAGCACAAAACTTTGAACAGCTGTAAAACCGGCAATTTTCAAAATTTTTCAAAAACCTTTGAGATACGTTGAAATATCACTAAAGACCACAGCATATCCAAATTTCGGGCTTCCAACAGGAAGTACATTTTTCTGAACTTTATTTTCATTCGCGTACAGCGGGCGTCTATAGAAACTTTGATCGATCATTGTTTCGCGTCCTTCGAGATATTTCGGTGTTTCGTTCTCGTGCCGTGTGATTTGACACATTCAGATTGACATTTAAATATCAGATTCACGCGAAAACGATTAAAAGCTTTTGATAGCACCGCATTTAATCGACAGCTATTCGTCAAGCCGCTCGTTATCGCGTGTAAATCGTATCACAACATATTTATCATCGATCGTCACAGCTCGTGATCTATTATGGCGAGGCCCCGAGCAAATTAACCGTGAAATAATAACGCACACGAAAATCAGATAAATCTTTTCTTTAAACGTGTTTGCAAACATGGAGGAAGCACTCGAAGCTTCGTGAAAGAGTATAGGCGGTTTTAGGGGTCAAAATTTGCCTTTAAAAAAGACTAATCTATGCCAAGTTTCAAGTCCCTATTTCGACTGGTGGTGGAGTAAACAAGAAAAAAAAAAGAAAAAACAAATATCACGTTTTTGATCAATTTCTTTCGTCCCGTTGCATGAAAAATTTTGACAAAAATCAGAAATATTTCAGTTGGCCAGCTACATGCTTCATAATTTTTTTCAGATTTTTCAATTCTAAATCCAAGCTGTGAAAAATAAACAACGCAACAAATTATAAAAAATGCTGGCTTGGCATCGAAGGAATCTGAGAACTACGACTATATAATTACGGGAAGTGTATATTATTGTTATTATTATCTTCAATTTTGTTCATAATTTTATGTGTGGTGCGCCGTAGTTGGAAAAATCAAAAACCGATTTTTTTTAGCTGTTTCGGTGTGTTAGAGGAACTGGAATACAGAATTTTTGTATACTTTTTATGAAACACATAATTCTTAATGTTTTGACATTGATCAAAACAGTCTAGGTATTAAGAAAACTAAATATCTAACAATTACAACGTAGGTTCGTATCTCCAGTTAATATATATATATTTTAATTTCTAATAACGTAACAATGATAAATACTTATTTGCAAGTAATAAGAACATATTTTTATAACGTTCTAACAAGCAATATATACATAAGAATAATATTGGAACGCTCATGCCACTGCTTCTCTTGTCAAGTATCTCATCAACCACGATATTATTTAACACGTCTTACACCAAGCAAAACATTTAACGTTGAAGAAGTGACAGCCGTTATCAACGAAGACAGCAAGAAAGATTAAGCATAACGACACAATTTTTACTGTATTTTGACTACAAAATTAAAGACAAGTGACTTGGAAATCAATTTCATATATTAGTTTAATATTTATTAATATATCAATTAATTTGGAATATTATTATCCACACGTATATTAGTAGTAAAATTAAGAGTTATAGCTTAATTTAATATAGCTAGATTTCAGCTTCAAACCAGAAGAAGAAAAAAAAGAGAAAGGAAATTGAATGATTGCAACCGCTATACGCTGTAAAAAGTTTAATTACGTAGGCAGAGACGTCGTAAAAGACTAAACGCGGATGAAGGGCTAAATTGTCTGATACGTTCTGTAAAACGTCGAGAGCTGATTAACGAATTAAAAAAAATCCCGGCGCATACGATTACCAACCCTAGGATCAGAGATTAGCAAACTTCGTATTACATAAATACATCGAACAACGAACTAAAGATAAGCAACTGTGTATCCATTACTTGTTAAATAATAACACGAACTTGAATTATAGAACGAAATACTTACAAGGGACAATTCAAACTTTAATTAATTACTAGGTGTCATTTTCTCGATATTTTTGAAAGATTATTTTTTATAATCAATATGAAAAAGATTATATTTCTACAATATAATAAAGAAAATATACGTTGCGAAGGACAAAATGATAACTTTAAAAGAATTAATTACATAAAACGGAACGAAAAATGGTTATAGAAATTCGGTATGCTTAGGTGAAAAGATTAGTAATTATTTTTCATCGAGCAATTATTTGGGATTAAAAATGTAGTAGTTAAATACAGTAAACATTACGAATAAACTGCTGGTGTAACATAAAATACGAAATTGTATGCGATACAAAATTTGTTTTCTAGATCATCCTAGTGTTTTGCTTTTTCTAATGTCTCTTATTTACCAAAGTTAACAAACATGTTTAAAATAAATCTTAAATGACCAAATCAGGACCTACAGAGAGACATGCTGCACAATAAGATGCAAGAGGTTTCATTCCGATTGGTCAAGCCATCCCGGCGCAATAGGTGAACGTGCAAAAAAAAAAAAGTCGAATTGAGTAACCTCCTCCTTTTTCGAAGTCGGTTAAAAAACAATTAAAATTGATATAAAGACATTAAATAAATTCTTACTCTATCTTCTTCTTTCTTTGATTCTCAAATTTCTTCTTTACTTTCATCTTCAATCTTCTTTATTTCATATAAAAATGTTAAATAATATTTCTCTACCTTCTTTAATAAAGACTTCAAATGAAATCGTAGTTTCTTAAGCCTCGGTTACTTTATTCGTATTATCTCTTCTAACCTCGTCGTCAAACCTTTCTTCTTGCAACTTTAGAAATAAGAATTTATTAGCAGAACATTAATATCGTATTGCTTTATTCAAATAAAATTTTCTCTATCTCTGGCTTAGAACCGGACGGATCACAGTTTCGTTTCGTTTCGTCTCGTTCTACCTATACACGAAAGTCCCTGAAACGAGAACTGCCTACTTCCGAGTAATAAAGTCCAATGCCGTAATCATCGTGATTTAACGACACCGACCCAAGTGCTGCGGAGGGTCGGTCGTGCGATCGTGCGAATCGTTTTTCCGAGCCAAGCTTTCGCATCTTCTTCGTTCTGTCGTCGAGTATAAAAACAGACTGCGAAACTATATTGAATCAGTTTTGGTTGCAAGCCTGCGGAACATCTACAAAATTTCGTTCGATGTTCCCTTTTCATAGAAAATTACAATAATAATAATAACGATAAAATTCTCGACAGTGGAGATGGAGCAAAATGGACTCTTAAATAGATACGTTTTAAAGTCTTGAAGTTTATCGTTCTTCTTATTATTACTCAAACAATAATATGCACTCGAATAGAAGAAGAATGGAATTCAAGTACTCAGACATTGAAACAATGTTATTCAGCAGTAAAGTATTCGAAGAATGTTATTCGAAGAATGTTATTCGAACATTCAAATTGAAACAATAATATTCAAATACTTAAGTATTTGTATGATAGCATTCTAGTACTCGGATATTGAAACGATGCTATTCAACAGTCAAATATTGAAGTAACGGTATTCAAACACTTAAACATTAGAACAATGTTATTCGAATACACAAATGCTTGTATAATGGTAACTTTACATATTACATGGATACTGAAACAATGCTATTCAAATACTCAAACATTGAAATGAATTTAAGGTAGTTATTTCGAGATAGTCACGTTCAAAAATATAATTGCGTTATAATTGAATTTATAAAAATTCCGAATTTTTACATCGTTTTTCATAAAACTAGAGTGACCAATTTAAATTGTAATAGGCTCATACGATTTATATTTAATCGAAGAATAATCAAGTGATATTTTGTTATTATCCTCCATTAAATAAATTCACGGAACAACAATCGTAAATAGTCAAGTATCGACGCCACGGTATTCGACAGTGAAATATTCGAATAACTATGTTCACAAACTAGGATATTCAAAAGTTCTTATTGTTAGTAACATTCGAATCTTTTAAACTCGCCAGGATGAGCCCGATTCTAACCAAGCGTAATTTCTTACTTTCATACAAATCGTAAGTACTTCAAATATATCTACGTACTTCCTTATGAATTACATAATATTCAGAAAGTTTTGTTTCGGTTCGTCTGTATCAATAACAAGAGATCTATTCTGTTTGAACATGCTCGATACTTCCGCAAACGATTAATATCAGAGTGTTGCATCGAAAGTTACAAGAGCGTTACGTTTATCCGCATGCTCAACGCTCATTCTGAATTTCGTAATTCGCGTGAGTCACAAGCAGGACGAGGATATGCCGCTGCTCAGCATTTAAGGTAACCATAATCGGCGGATTAAGATTATATCGATTCAACCTTTTTACATTTCGAGCGATTCAAGTACCTCTTGACCTCTTTTATAGATTTAGAAGGTGCAACCTATTTGGGATTCTGGGTTAAGAGTCGATCATGGAAAATGACTGCTACTACCTCTCAATAATGTTTAATGTTGCTACAATTATCGTTGTAGAGAGTGTCGGCAGCTGAATTGGGGACAATTATGTTACTAGTTTTATGAGGCTATTATGAGGTTGCATAAAGTCATCTTTGAAGACTGAAAAAAAAAAAAAACTAGGGTGCCCCAAAAATGTTGGAGGTCCTTGAAAGGGGTGGCTGGGGAGGTGATTTGAAACAACTTTTTCCTTAGCGAAAATGTTGTCCGACGCTTCGTTAAGGAGATATTAACGGAAAACACTGACCAATCAGAGCGCGCGGATACCGATGGAGCGGCCGCGGTAGCGAAGGCTACGCGCTGAGCGGCCGCGTCAATATCCTTCGATGCACGTCGAATCACTTGTACGCGTACGAGAGCGGCTACCTAGCGCGTAGCCATCGCTATCGCGGCCGCTCCATCGGTATCCGCGCGCTCTGATTGGTCAGTGTTTTCCGTTAATATCTCCTCAACGAAGCCTCGGACAACAATTTCGCTAAGGAAAAAGTTGTTTCAAATCACCCCCTGAACCATCATTTTCAAGGACCTCCAACATTTTTTGGACACCCTGTATATACGTGTCGAATTGTTGAACCTCCAACATTTTTGTT